CCACCTTTCTTGCGCATCGTCTTGTATTGTAGCGCTATGCGGCACCGTGTGGAATAGTCTAGCAGGTGCCAGCCTTACCACCATACTTGACCCTAGCGCAACGCACATGTTTAACGTTTCACATGTCTTGTCTATGTGACGCCGTCCAGCCTTACGCAGTACTAAGTCTGAACGGTGTCGCGTGCACGGGTTATCACGATTTCCGTTTTTACATTGGTTTATCTTCCAGAATTGTGCATATTGACCGCAGTTCGATATGCCATATCAGTGTATCGCATCCTTCCATCTTGTCGCGTCGGTTTCGAAATTGGCGTTGCGTTGGTGTTGATATTGGCTTCAGCGTTAAGTTCGATCTTTGCTCAGCTTAGCTCATGTTCCTTTCGACCAGCTTCGCGTACCCTCACAGGTACGGAAGGGCGGATTGTCGAGGTTCTGCCAGGCAGCTTCGCCCGTTTTCGCTGACAGCAAACTCAAACCCAATTCAAACGAAGCTCCAAATACAGTTCACACACATCGCAATCAAAGCTCCAACAAAGCTCCAGCCACGCTCAAACAGAGCTCCAACGAAGGTCAAACAAAGCTCCAACAAAGCTCAAACGGAGCTCCACAAAAGCTCAAGCACAGCTCCAGCGAAGCTCGAACAAAGGTCCAACAATGCTCCAACAAAGCTCAAACACATATCAAACTCAGCTCGAACACAGATCAATCACAGCTCAAGCAAAGCTCGAACAACGTTCAAACAGAGATCCAACAAAGTGCAATCAAAGCGCAACCACAGCTCCAACAAAGCTCGAACAGAGCTCAAGCAGAGCTCAAACACAGCTCAATCACAGCTCAAGCAAGGCTCACACCATACTCAAACAAAGCTCCAACAAAGATCAAACACAGCTCAAACAAAGCTCCACCAAAGCTCATACAAAGCTTCGCCATCGCTCAAACCAAGCTCGAACACAGGTCAAACACAGCTCAACCAAGATTTCAACAAAGCTCAAACACAGTTCAATCACATCTCAAACAAAGCTCAACCAAGGCTGAAACAAAGCTCAAACAAAGCTCAAACAAAGCTCAATCACAGATCAAGCACACTTCAAAAACAGCTGAAACAAAGCTCAAGAAAAGCCCCAACAAAGCTCCAACACAGCTCAACCAAAGCTCAACCAAAGCTCAAACAAAGCTCAAACAAAGCTTACAACCTGTTTGAATTCAGGGCGTCGGGGGGATCGTCCTCCCCCACATCCGGTTCGAATCGGGGAGGGGGGAGTGCATTTTGACTCTTTTTGTTGATGGTCCCGAGGCCAGGCCAGGGCCCGACAGACTGCAAACTACGATCCATTTTCGCCTCGACTTGTCGAGACGCCGGTCATACGTTCATGTTCTTCTTGTTTCCCGATTCGTGCTGCCCCTGCGCCCCCTTACCGTCGTCGTCTTCGTCGTCGTCGTCGTCCTCGTCGTCGTCGTCGTCGTCGTCGTCGTCGTCATCGTCGATCGTCCTCATCGTCCTCATCGTCGATCGTCCTCCTCGATTCGTGCTGCCCCTGCGCCCCCTCATCGTCGATCGTCCTCATCGTCCTCCTCGTCACCGTCGTCACCGCCATCGTCGTCGTCGGCATCGCTGCCCCCATGGGGCCCCCCGCGCACCGCCCGTGGCCCCCGGAGGACAACCCCTTCGGCGGCCGCCAGTTCGACCTCGGCGGCGAGCCGCTGCAGGCCCACTGCCCGCCCTGCCTCCTGCGCTACGACGAGGAGGGCATCGTCGACAACGCCACGGCGGGCGGGGCGCCGATATAGCGAGGAGAGGCCCAGGCCCCCCTCGAGCAGGGGAAGGAGCCACGACGGGAGCGTGGCGTCGTTCGGGCGTGTGCAGTTTTTCGTCTTGGGGAGGACCATCGAGGACCATCCTGGACCATCGAGCAAGCAAAACCACGCGCGAAACCGAAACATGCACGGGAAATGGACGTCCGAGCCACGACGGCAAGGGAGGCTCTTCACAATCTTCGGCCTCCGGGCGCCCCTACCGGGCTTCAGGACCGTCGATCCCGGGGAAGAGGTCGAGACCTCGGGGGGTCGACGTAATGAACAGATCATGACGTTGGAGGTCTGGAAACGGCACCCATGCCGCTATCCTTGCCTCGGCTTCGCCTCGTTGGGCCTCCTGGGAGGCCCTCTTCGCCACCGGTGGATTCGCCTCGACGTTCCGGTCAGAACGCGCCCCAGGAGAGGTCCGGGGGATGGCAGTGCTGGTACCTTTTGATTTTTCCCAGTGGGGAGGCATCATGGACCCAGACGTCGGGCGTCTCGAAAAACACGAGGCGGAGGTTCTTCTTAGTTTTTGGCCTCTCGGGGCCCTGATGCCGTGCCTCGGGAGCGTCAAAATCGACTCGGGATGAAAAGCTGGTCCCAGGGAAGCGGTCGAGAGGTCGAGGGCCCGCGTCTCGAGAACATCGAGCCGCCAGGTGTCCGAGGAGAGATTCTACGGTCGAGAACTTCAGGACAGCGTGTCGTTTTGCCGGTTCTGGCCCATCACGCCTCGGAGCGACACGCTATCCTCTTCCTGGTCCCCAGGCGTCAACGTCCCAGGCTTTTCTTGTGCCTCTCGCCCCGCGGAGCGGAGCGGAGCGCCATCCGCTCTTAAGGCAGAGCGCGTCGCCAGGGCCGCCGTGACGACACGCTATCCAAGAGTTGCTGGCCGTAGGCCCCCAAAATTAAGTCCGAGTAGATGGGGTCGAATGATCGCTACAAGTCGCCGATGCATCGTGGATGCAACTCGGTGTGGAGCCCGAGTCTCTCCACGACGGGGTCGCCGATGCATCGCCGACGTCGCCGAATCATCGTCGACTCATCGCCGATTCATTGGCGATGCATCGGCGACTGAGGGGCCGTGGAGAGATACTGTACATGCGAATTTGAGTTGTGGGGCTCTGTCAAACCAAGGGTACCCACTGTGTCCTGTGTTTAGCGACCCATGCCTGCGACGTTCCTATGGCAGTGTGGCCCTCGGAAGGATTTTGCGCCCTCTCGCGTGCCCTCTCCAATCAAGCTCGATCGTAGGAGGGAACGCTTCCGGGTTCGAGGCTGGAGGTTTTCGAACGTGTTCTTCGGCTGTCGGCGGCTTTCCGGCCTCGGGATGCGCGGCAGCGGCTGCGCCTCGTCGAGAGCGTTCTGGAGGTGCCCGGATCTTCCCGAGCGGCCGCCGGAGGCTTGAGAGTTATGACCCGGCAGCCACCAGTTGATAGCCTCAGGGGAGGCTGCATCGGCTCCCAATTGCCGAATTATCGACGAGCGGGGCCAGGGGCACGTGGACCAATTTTGTTTATATATGTGCAAGCTAGGTTTTATGGGTCCCTGGGATATCACTGCCGAGGCAGCGCAGGGAATACCAATTTGTCAGGCATGCATGTTTGTCTGCAGCCATGACTGACGAGCGACGCTGGGTGCCAGGTCGCGAAACGCATCGCGCTGGATGCTGCGCAACTCTCTGCCCGATAATTGCTTGACACATTTTTGTCCGCTTAAAGTGTGCACTCACCAGTCTCATCGTCCATCGTTTGTGTTGTCTTCGACTGTCTTGGAAAGTGCGCAGTGGAGACCCATGCCAAGGAACACCCTTCTTGCCCCCAGGGTGCCCTGGGTTTCTTGGGTTTCGATGGTTTTGCCATGGCAAGCGCGACGCTCCCACACCAAAAATCAACGGACGTCCCGGGGTCTCAGGGTTGGGTTTCTTGTGGACGGTTCTTTGTGGTGGAGCCCCTACTGCAGTCGATGTTGTTCGCGAAGCCTCAAGAGTCCCGCACCAAAAGTTCCCACACCAAAAGTCCATGGACGTCCTGGGGTCTCAGGGTTGGGTTTCTTGTGGGCGGCTTCTTGTGGTCGAGCCCTTGCTGCAGCTGATGTTGTCCGCAGAGCCTCAAGAGTCCCACACCCAAAAGTTCCCACACCAAAAGTCCATGGACGCCCCGGGGTCTCAGGGCTAGGTTTCCTGTGGACGGCTTCCTGTGGTCGAGCCCAGCTGCTGCAGCTGATGCTGATCGCGAAGCCTCGGGGGGGGGGAAGAAAGAGGTACAGCCGGCCCGGATTAGTGGGTCGACCCTGCCAAATCAAGGGTACCTTTGTGTCCTGTGTCTCGCGACCCGCGCCTCCTGCATTACTCTGGCGATGTGGCCCTCGGAAAGGGTCTTTTGTCCTCTCGCGTGTCCTGCCCAGTGAGGTCCGACTGTACCGATGCCGCCGTGCCCGTCCTGGAGCGCGCTCGCCGCCACGGCCGGCCTTTCCCCCCAGCCGGATCCTGGCCAGGACGCGCCCCAGGCGAGGTCCAGAGCGCAGCGTCAAGTCGGGCGTGTCCCTCTTAGAGGAGAGATACTCAAAGCCAGTACAAAACAGTAGGTGGACGATGTTCCAACGATTGTTGATTATTTACAGATGTCCAAAAATAGTCAAACAAGATAGTACGTGGACGATTGTTCAACCATTTTTTCTTGTTACTTTCGACTATGTTTTGACTTTGTTTCATCTTCTTCCAAAACCCGCCTGTAGGAGGACATGCCCGACCTAAAAGTAGAGCGGTATCTTGCCGGCAGGTGCCCCGCGGAATTTTCCCATCCCACGTGTGGCTCCAGGGGCCTCCGGAAGCCACGAGGCACCCTGGGAAGACCCAGGATTGAGGAATGTCTTGTAGCAAGAAGGATCTCTTATCGCGTGCGCCTGCTGGAGCACACCCCGCCCGCCCGCCCACCCACTGGGGCGACGCAACAACAAGTGCTACAGTAGGTTTGTTGGTTTGCAGCGGTGGCCTCCCGAATCCTATTTCTGGCCCCAAGCCGTCGAGAAATGATCCAGGCTGGAAAGCTGGCCTGGGGGATGGGGGGCCGACGCCACGAAAAAGGTTGTGACGTTCCCAGGACTCTGACGTCGTGTTCTGTTGTCGCAATCTGAACCAGTGGAGGTCTGGACCCCTTCCCCGACACCGGGTTTTCACCATGCAACGTTGTTCGTGATATTTAAGTTTCGCCCCGTCCTTCCTCCTCCCCTCCCTCCCTGGTCCCTCCCTCCCCTCCCTCTCCCCCCCTCTCTAGCTGCTGCCCCAGCTCGAGGTTTTTGGGCGCGGATACCAGGTATCCGCGATACTCGCGCGGGGCAGCTGCCATGCGCGTCGGCCCAAGCCCGCGAGCCGCTGGCAGGCCTGCGCGGACGGGGCTCCCCACGCCTCGCGAGGTGGAGCCGTCGTGGCACAGGCGGTTCGGGCGCACAGAGCGGCCGCTCGTGTTCTCGTGAGGGTGGCTGCAGCACGGGACGTGCTGCGTGGGCACCACAGCGCCATGGATCATGGCGGCGATGGGCGCGCCAGCTGCATGGTACTGCGGGCGGAGCGGGAGGCGGCAAGGGCAGCGGGGGCGGCATAGGCGGACGCGCGCCAGGGCATTGGACGCCGCCGCCCCCCCCCCCACAGGCCTGGTGGTGTCCGACGTGCCAAGCCCCGAACAATGTGACCGACCGCCTGTGCCGCTCGTGCTTCCCGCTGCCCCCAGTCCCATTGGGTGGCGCAGAGACGAGCCCTCGTCGCGAGCAGAGCCAGCGCACCACCAGCCGCCCAACGAGACGTTTCCAGAGGCGCTCGAGTCCCCAGCGCCGCGGGCAGTCGGCCGCCGTTGAGAGCGGCCGCGCCAGGGAGCCAGATGTGGAGACTGCGCCCACGGCTGCTGTGCGCGCCAGGCCGCGCCGCCTCTGCCGTCGCCGCAGACCGAGCTCGTCAGACGTCACCTTCGACGGTAGGCGTGTCGATGCGGCCTGTGGATCGAGCCCCCGACGACCACCGAGGCCTTCGTCGAGTACCGCCGCAACCTGCGACGCTCGGCGATCGCCGCGGCCAAGAAGTCGCGGGCCTCGCGGGCACTGGGCTTGGCTCTCGCTGCGTTGGGGGAGCAGGAGTTCGAGTACGCGGTGCTCATGACGATGATCATCGTCGGGCGCACGCCCGACGTCCGTATCGAGCACCGGAAGGCCTTCATGGAGAGGGCCGTGCGACATGTCGCGAAGGCAATGGACGAGGTCCAGCAATTCGCCATGAAGTTGTTAGATCTCCAGAGGGTCAAGGAGCAGCGGGACAACGAGCTTGCGCGCGCCGAGCTGCTGCTGGAGCAGCTCGCCGCGCTCTTCCCGCCGCCCGCGGCCGACGACGCCAACGCGGAGCCGCTGGCGGAGCCAGCTGCGAGCGCGCCGCCAGCAGCTGCCGCGCCCGCCGCCCCCGCGGCCGCGCAGGTCGGCACAGGGGCTGCGGCCGCCATCGCCGAGCTGCTGCAGGGCCAGGTCACTATGGCACAGCAGCTGGCCGGCCTCGCGACGGTGACTGGTGGCCTCCATAGCGCGCTGTCCCAGATGAATGCCCAGCGTCTGCCTGATGTCGCTGCTCCCGGACCGCCGCCCGAGCCTGCCGCCGAGGCGGCTGGCCGCCAGGCCCGCCGCCCGCGCCCCTTGTCGGGGGGCGGCGACGCCTCTTGGCGGTGGGGCGCCTGCGACGCCGCCAGACATCCAGGCGGCCGCGCGCGCAGTGGCCGCTGCAGTGGTGCCCATCTGCGGCCAGCCTGAGCTTTCGGCCTCCCAGCCAATGGCCGATGCAGCCATGCAGGCCCAGCGCGAGGCTGCTGCATCGAGGGGCGCCGAGGCCGCTTGCCTGGCTGCAGCTGCCGAGGCCGGGCGCAGGCGCGACGCCTGGGAGGGGGCTGCGTGCCGGAGCTGAGAGGGCCAGGATCGCGGCGGAGGCGCGCTGGGCGAAG